ACAAAACTCAGTAAGAAATATGAGCCAATTAAAAACTGAACAGCCCAATGACCAGACGGAAGGTTAACCAAGCTCCCCACTACCCCACCCTACCCCCTCCCCTAGCAGGTTCTGGGTCAAAGTAGCCCTACCAGGGTGGAGCTAGCTGGGAGGACCAAACAGACTGGGAGTAAAGTGGGGGAAACTCTGGTGAAGGTCAGTGTTAGAAACAGTATTGATGTGGGAGGCACAAAATCAGGGAAAACCAATGTGGTCGTCATCAGCCCAAGGACAAGAGACTCACTGGAAACAGGAGACAGTACAGCCAGGAATCTAGAGGTCTGAGGAGTGAGACCAACAGAGAGGAAGGGAGCTGCATGCACATGACCCAGCAATTCTACTCTTCAGTACCTACTGGAAACCAATGTCCATACAGACTTGAGGGTAGATGTTGAAAGCAGTATTCTTCCGAGTGGGCATCCACAAAATAGAAACAATTACAGATTTCTACCAACTAGCAGATAAAATGTGGCATAGCCACACACATTATACTAGTCACTAAATTAAGAATGACTAATATGCACTAAGCATGGGTAAATGTTAAGGTGCAAAACATCAAATGCAAGAGCATATTAGAGTCCACTGACATGAGCTAGATAACCTGAAATGAAGATCTACAGAGAGTATGATGGTCAGAGGGTCCTCTGGCTGGGGAAGAGTAGATGGGAATGATTGATAAAGTGTTGGTTTTTTTTTTTTTTTTTTTTTTTTTAGAAAGGACCTCATGCCTCACAGGCTTCAAACCTGAAATGTAGTATGTAGCTGAGACTGGCCCTGAACTCCTGGTTTTCCTGCCTCCACTTCTTGAATGCCGGATTACAGGCATGTATCAATAAGGTGTGGTACTGGTGGGAAGTGAAACACAATGTCACTTTGTGACAATTTGGCGACATCTTATGACAGAAATACCACATAACTCAGCAATTTTACCACCAATATTTATTGAAGAAAAATGGAGTTATATGTTCACACACATTGTATATAAATGTTCACAATCATTTATTCATAATAACCCAAACTAAAAACAGCTGAGGTCCACACCAATAGGATAACAGCATCTTCATGTAACAGAATATTACTCAGAAGAAAACTGACTCAAGTAACATGTGTGCTTTTCACAGAGTCACGCTGAGTGAAACCACACACAAATAAAAGCCATACTGATTTCCCCTAATCCACAACAACACAAAGCAGACAGCAGTGGCTGGGGCTGAGGGTAGATGGACGGGAACCTACTCAAGGGACATGAGGTAACTTTGAGGATGATGGAAATTTCTCTATTTCGGTTGTGGAGAAAAGCCACGCAGGTACATTTCTGTCCAATTCCTTAGGCGCTGTTTCCCCTCGGTGTTTCTGTTACATGTAAATTTTAACTCAGAGGAGAGCTGCTCTGAAAAAGAAATAGCTTGATTAGGACACACCATTGCCCTTGCTGAGGAAACGGCCGAGTTTGCCTGGCATCTGCAGTGCTCACACTGGTTCTCAGCAGTACATCAGTTTGGTAGTATGTGAAACCGCTGTCCTGTGCAACAATCCTTCCTTATTCCTTCTAAGACCCGACGACACACGCCTACTCAAGAAGTGTTTGAAATCTGTTGCTGAGATACTAGTTGCGAACCGTTAGCAGGTCTGGCATTTACTATGAAGCCTAGGTTAGCCTCAAATTCACAGCAACTCTGTCTTAAATTCTTGAGTGTTAAAATTTCAGGCATGTGCCGTTTATTCTTATGGTTGTTATACTGAATGTGAGTCCCAATCTTTTGTTACAAACAGCAACCATTCACTCCCTATCTGTCTCCTATCAGCATAGCTTCACACAGTCCTCCGCAAGATGAGAGCTGAAGGTTTATCTGTGAGTGGAACAGATTGGGACAGCTCTTCTGTCTCACTGGAATGCAGCATTTTTAGGGTACAGAGTTTTGTGTAACCCAAGCTGGTCTCTGGCTATGTAGAAAGGGTGACTATGAACAACTGATCCTCCTGCCTCCACTCCTAAGTGCTGGAATTAGAGGTGTGTGCTACTAAGCCAGCTAGTGACACTATTTTTAGCTGCTATGGTCCTTGTTCCTGTGATTTTTTTGTGTTCTGGGTGCTTCTGGGAAGTCGGACTCATTAGAGTCATTGCTTCAGGATGGAGAGAGAGATGTCAGTGCTCAGTCAAAGCTGAGTTTATTAAATGTGAAGAAGACAAAAGCTTAGAAGCAAAAGGACTTTTGCTTTGTCTGAGTGCCAAGCTCTGGGGGAAAAAAAGGTTTTGAAGAACCTATTAAACTCGGCTGTGCAGAATCAGTGTTGGAGCCTTGGCGAGTCAGAGTTGATTCCTTAACCAAGGAGGGGAAGGATTTATAACTTCACCAAGAGCAGTTTTCTCAACATTCAACAAGAGAAGTTGGACCTAACAGGAAGAGCAGTAGAAGAGATGTCGAAAGCTGGGCTGAGGTCTGAGGTCTCTTGGATACTCCACAGAACCATACTGCAAAGATTAGCCCAGAGCCCACAGATTTAGAGCCGCTCCTGCATTCTCTCTTGCCTCTTGAGTTAATCTGATGCTTGGCCAAGTTTTGGGAAATTACCGACTCACAGGAATCAAGGGGCACAGTGTTTAATATGCCTCTTCTCAGGGAACATTTCAACTTAATGAACCCCACTCAGCATGACACTGGAGCACAAGACCACTCAGCAAGTTGGGCAGTGGCTTCAGTAACATCTACACTTCCACTGCCTCTAGACTGCTCCCCACACGAGATTGTCAAGTCTGTTTTGCAAAGGAGTATTTTGTGGGTAAGCCTAACAATAGCACCAAGCAAGAACATGGTAGAGAGTTAACTACAAGTAGATGGTCAGGTAGAACTCCAGAGGTGATGCATCTGAAAGGGGTTCATGAACAACTCTGCTTGATGAGAACTCACAAACCCCCAGCTCCTATGCAGGAGACCAGCTAATCAAAGTCTGCATATAACCACCAAAAGCTGCAGCCACAATGATGGTCAGAGTTGTCCATGAATGCACACGAAGACCTTGATTTTGCAAAGGTTTTTCCAGTTCTTTTGTCTGAACAAGTTGGCACAATTCCCGTCTAGTCCCAATACAGAGCCAGCAAGAACTGCTTACGTTTAGTTGTTCAACCAGACCAACTCCAAATGAGGTCAAGGTCTTAACAAAGCCTTCAGAACTATCCAGACACAAAAAGTCAGAGAGAAAACATTCCCAAGCTAGAGTTGCCCGAACCTGTGCCTTCCAGGACAATAGCTGCTGGTTGCTTAACTGCTGAGCACTGAAAACAGGGCTGGTTCAAAATAGATCCCAAAGATGAAAGAAAACAACAACAACAACAAAAAACACCTAGTTATCTATCAGTTGGGGACTATCAAATTGATTACATGGTAAGGTGGATCTGCATATCTGAACAGTCTAGTGCAGTTTATGGTTTGTGTTCTAACAACAGATGAACTATATGTCATTTGCTGTCCTTGATGTACAGGACCTGAATATCTGGGTGGTGAATAACCTTAGACTTTTTTTTTTTTTTTTTTTTTTTTTGAGACAGTTTCACTATGTATCCCTGGCTGGCCTGGACCTGGTGATATAGACCAGGCTGGTCTCAAACTGCCTCCTGAGTGCTGAGACTGAAGGTGTGTGCCACCACACCTGACCTAACACTAAAAATCTCAGGCATTACAGAGATACCAAAGGCTCATGATACGCAGTTCTTTGATATTTTTCTGAAGTTGTTTTATACCAAGGCCAACACTATGCAGCTACTGTTCAGTTAATGCCCTGGTCACTCGGCTCTTAAAGGACCAAGTAAATTAGAAATATTAAAAACTCAAATTTATTTTATCAGGAAGGCATTTTTTGGTTATATTCTATCTGAATCCCATAAAATAGTGAATTCAAGAGCTCACAGAAAATATTATTAGAGGAGAAAAGCACTATTTGACAAAATTTTAAGTTCTATAGTAAGTACTGAAGACATTATTTTAAAAAGCATTTTATGTGAAATATATAAACCTAGGGTCCTTTGCCATCTTGGGATATATATCTCAGAGTTAAGTTTCTGTTTTCACAGGTCACTCTGGAGCAATCTGTTGTGGTGTTGCCAGGACGTGTTATTGGACTAGGTCATTGGGAGGTCTCCTCCTTGACCCATACAGCTACCTGAGGTTGCTGCTCCTCCCATCTTTACCAGTCCTTTCTGTCCTTTGCACAACAGCAAAGATCATGCAGCAGCACCCTGTAGCCTTCTGGCCCTTCTCCAGAGCAGAACCTAGGCTTTCCTGAAGAGCGACTGCCACTAGGACCACAGGCTCACATGGATGTGGACGAGAACCCAAACCAAGCAGTCCCTTTACTTTCTGTTGTCAAGATTTGAAGTCAGGCACAATGCAAGGGGCATGGAAAATGAGCCCAAGACAAAACTCTCAAGTGTTTCAAGGTACGGGTTGGCACTCACTAAGCAAGGGCCACAGCAACAGAGGCTAAGGCAATGGGGCTTCAAGAGAAGTCCAACTCAGCCAAGCTGGAGTTTTAAGTAACTCCGTGTTCCTCACAAACGAGCAGTTAGCGCTGCCGATATTTGCAGCCCTAAGGCATTATGACCCTGAAGCACCTGCCTTTGTTCTCAACCCTTTATCCCGACCCCCACCTCAATTCATTTTCAAACGGAAGGTCCTTATTTCTGGTTCTTTAGGATATTCCTGGCATAATCAGATTTTCCCAGGTAGTCAACCTTTCAAGATAGACAGAAAGGACAATGAGTTGTCCCAAGAACTCTCTATCCCTTTCTACAGAGATGACTGCTAAGGTGAATCAACCTTCCTTCCTAAGGTTCCAGGTCCTCCTGACCTCACCTTCTCTTGACTTCCCTTTCATCTCCGGAGTTACTAGAAATTTCTTCCCAGGCCTTTCTGCCTCCAGTTTCACCGTCCCTAATCTGAAATGTAAGCATGATTGTCTTTTTCTTGTTTCAAGTTCTCTAATCACAGTTAGTCATACACATGCTGCATGAGCTGCTGCTAGCTTACCTCCCTAGACAGAGTGAAGGTTGACTTTGTCTACTGTCCATATCCCTTTACCCAGACTCTCCAGAGCTGAATCATCTACCTATTCTTAAAAACCTACTCATGCTCCAGTTTCTTCTGAGTCTGTGTCTCTGAGTCATATTACATAGTAACATATCTGCTAAAGCTTATTACTCTCTAACATGCACTGGTAACTGAAATTAGGCTGCTAGAGGCCAGCTGTCTTTCATTACTATGTTTCTAGTTCCAAGACAGCATGGAATCAAAAGCTGTTCAATGAAAAGTTGCTCAAATAGCACTCTTGCTAACTGGTGAGAATGGAAATCAGAACCCACGATGCTCCGTTATTACATGGCTTCTTTCAATACACCAGTTAAGATCTCAGATGTTATCACCACACTTCATGGTAAACATATTAACAAAAATCATATAAATGGGTACAAATGTTTTTGTTTAATATAGCAACACTTATGTATACCACATATCTGACTTTGAATACACATACCTTCTTACTTAATACAAGAGCCCTGGTATCAGAAGACCAAGGCAAGGCACAGAATAAAATCCATGGCCAGAGATGCCTAAGACTAGGAGATCCAGCCCCAAAGCCTAGTTTCTTAATCACTTCATTACAGAACCCAATGGTGTTTATATCTTAAAAACTGCTTCCAGAAATAAAGGCAAGTTATGAAACAAATTAAGTCTACAAAGTGTGACTGCACACTCATAGGGTATCCTTCCCAACAGTGTTCTAGCTGCATTTCAATGATAAATTAAAGGTTTATATCAGGTATTTCAAAGTACATCTTTACTTATAGTCATGGAAATACAAAAACACCTTTGTCCATTACTGTAAGCTAATGAGAAATTTTCACAATTTTGGATCTAGCTGTGTTATTATGGGTAAAAATAAAATAAAGAGGCCATAACATCAATTAAAGCATGCCAACTTTCCAGCATTCAAATATTTGTTTTATTGTAATGCACTGTCAACTTAAAGACATAAGGTAGGACATGACAACTTCCTTTGAGAGTATTCTTATTTTCTACTTCTAAAGAACAGAGTTTAACAAGATCTTCTGGAATTTTTACTTATTAAAATATTAACGATGAATTGTTCTGTTTCTGTTTAGATCACACTAATAAAAGTTGTTCCTAATACATTTTCTCTGTTTCTTGTGATCAGTGCTTCCAGGGCCTTATTTAAAGAGAACAACAAAATACTTTCTAATAGAGGAAATTAAGAGGTATTCTAGAAGAGTTGTGGAAACCAGGAGCAAATCAATAGAGGTAAATATTGTGATTTTCAATCAAAGAAGTCCACATAGTAAGTCATCTGCAAAGAAATGCAACGAACTGTTACTCAGTA